GTGAGAAGTTATTCAAGCATTAAGCCTAAGAATATGAAACCGAAAGTGTTCTACTTTTGCAAATGAGGAAATAATTACACTAATTATACTGAAGCATCAGAAAATGACAGGCAATTCCCTATATCTTGTATATCTTTATAATTATATATATATAAATATATGTTATATATTTATGTCTGTATATATAATGTGTGCTGTTTACGCACACACATACTACTGTTACCTTGTGGTTAATGAGGAACTGAACGCTTCCCTCTTCTCTCTCGACTCTCTGATGACGTTTCGGAATATATCATATATATATATAGATATGTTATATATTTATATTATATATATATATATATATATATATATATATATATATATATATATATTCATATATGCATATATATATACACATGCAGGCAAACACACACACATATATATACATATGTATGCATATATGTATATATATATGTGTGTGTATTACATATATCTATATTTACATGTGTGTGTATTACATATATCTATATTTACATGTGTGTGTATTACATATATCTATATTTACATGTGTGTGTATTACATATATGTATATGTACAAATATATTACATGTATATGCATATATATGTATATATATATATATATATATATATATATATATATATACATATATATATATGTATGTATGTATTACATACATGTATATTTATAAGTATATTACATGCGTATGCATATAAATATGCATAAATATATTCTATATATATGCATATAGAGAATACACACACGCACACACACACACACACACATATATATATATACATATATATATGCATATATATGTGTGTATGTGTTAGTGCATGAGTATGAGTGTATACGTGTTTATATGTTGCCATGTGTGCACGGTTTTTGCTGTGATTATATTGCATGGGAAATGTAAAATTTCGTCTACCACACGGAAACCTTTCAAATGTTACAATCTTTAGAAATAATAATTATTTCTTTCCAGTTTTTTTCCAATAACATTAAGCAATTTTAATGTAACAGAACAATTCTGGAATGACATATTTGCTTACGCTTTCTCTTATCATGGACATTGCGTTAGCCATTGTATTTTTGCTGCTACTTTTAAAGATGTTATTAACAAGATCAACAGCAACAGTACCCTGACGCCATTGTTACCTTATTACTGATGTACATATTGTGTCAGTATAAATAGCTTAAGTTGTCAGTATCAATACAATTATTATTTTCATCAAGTTCTCATTAGATTTGTTAATGATCCGATATTTCGACCTTCGATTGTAAATCAAAATTAGACAAGGTTGTCAACAAAAAAGTAAACCAGCTTACTATGCACGTACTGTTTTACTACAATTAAATATATATATAAGTTAAATCTATATGGAATCCATATGGAATCGCGGTCGTCGAAACGAGTTCCATCCTGTTCGTCTCAGCTTTACAAAGTTGAACCATAAAATCTCGTGGGAGCTCGAACGACCGTTTCAGACGAGTCCTCTTCGCTTGAGTCTGGGGCTGAGTATCGGCCTCGAGACACTCGATACTCCTCGGACTCAGGATGCTGAGCCTCGCCCTCGTACTCCACCTCGGCCACGTAGCCAGAGTCGCCGTCCACGTAGTACTTGACAGTCTGCAAGCGAGTATCGGGAAGCTGCACGTAGTACGAGCCTTGGGTGTAGTCTCCGTCGCGGGACTCCTGGTGGCCGAAGTGGTTGCCTGAGTAGTCGTGGTTCACGGCCCAGTCGAAGTCGTACTTTGCAGGTCCATATTCAGCAGAATCTTCATCAGATCTCTGTAAATAGCAATGCCATTAGATTAGATTGTGATCCATTGTCTTATTTGTTTCTATGATGATCCGCCGACACCAATAACACCCGTAAACCTACATCATGACTACGGTAGATGTGGCGACTCTCTGATGACGTTCCGGAAGAATCATCTGATACCTGGAACACAAACCATTCCATTAGTTTTAAAATACAGATCTCTGTAAATACACAAGTAAAATGTATGAGATTTTGGTACATTCCATTGTTATCTTCGATGACACTCTGTCGACTCCAATAACCTCAGTAAAAAAATACTTACATCGTAATGACGGTAGATGGTACGACTTTCTGATGACGTTTCGGAAGAACCATCTGATTCCTGAAAACAAAACCAGTGAATTACTTCAAACAAATCGCATCTACTCTACTTAACCAAATATTATAAAGTAATACTCAAAAGGTTGCTCAAATAAAAACAAACATTTACGCTTGAGTTCTAACCCGAGGGATTCCGTATATGGACGAAGGTTAAGAATCTGACGCAGCAACGGCGGCGAGAGCCAGCAGGAGAACGAGCTAAAGAGTAAAGAACGCGTGAGAAACGTTGACCAAACGTTCCAAGATATTGTTTACTAAGCTAGAATTAACTTCTATATAAATTTAGCTAAGCATATAAAGCCAGTTGGTGGGAGTTAGCATCTCACCTGAGTGTTCATGGTACGACCAGAGACGTGGAAACACTGACCCAATTCGCCACCGACGCGCCGGATTTATAGGGTCGAGGGGAAGGCGAGACGAGGCGATGACCTTTTTTTTAAATTTAGCAATGCATTTTATTTTCTTTGGTTTCGATGCAAAAAAAAAGGTACTGATACACTTAGTCAAAGAGTTTCGATTTCAAGATTTGCAACATTCAGTATAATTAGACAACCAACATTCTACCAGGTAATAATGTTTCTCGAAATATGCTTTGTAAATCTCCTAAATGAAGCATTTATCAGCGGAATTATTAATTGAATTTTTAATAGATTCTTTTCATATATGTTTTTGTTTTAATGTTCCAATTTTCCAAAGTAAGTATCAAGAATTTTATGTGGGGACCTGTATGAATATTGACGTATGTGAATTAATAGACATGTATATGTATATGGATGGATATGTATGTATAGTATAATATGTATGTCTTTGTGTCTGTATGTATGTGTGTGTGTGCATAATCTAATCATGTGACTGCACATACATGCATATATATTGATATATGTGTGTGTGTATAAATATATATATTGATAGATACATATAAATATTTATATTATATTGTACAGGTATTCATTTGAAAACATACACACACACATACAATGTATATGTAAATTCATAAATATATATTATTGTCCATATTATGATCTTTAGCATTATCATAACATTTAATATCATTGTCAACATCATATATATCTCTCAGGCAATTTTTACACTGAATATTATTTAGAGCTGTCAGTTAATACCAAGGAATACGTATACCGTAATACGCCTTTTGAAAAGCAGGACACTGTATTCAATTTCGACAAGGACGAGGATGAACATTTGAATAATAAAAAAACCTATTCGTCAGTAATGGAATACATATAATTTACTCAACAAAAAAGTACCAAAAACTTCACAGCTCTATAGTTGTTATAACTGTTTCTATAACCAATAACCTGTTTGTTGCATTAGTTGTTTGCCATTTCTTTAAATATGTATATAAAAAGGTTTTCATTAATATTGTCAAGATGTTACATGAACCCATACAAGTGGTTTTCCAACTTTGTGAGCCCTTGGCCTGCTTTTGACGCCTAAATGCTCGTGACACACTGCCCTTCTGAACTGTGTGGTGGTAATAACTATAATAAAGCGTATTCAACAGAATTTTTTTTACTTATTACTTATTATTTTATGTATATGTCCTATATGATTTATCTATATGTCTACCATTTTATGCATATGCATGTTTATATGTGTGTATATACATATGAATATACATACATATATATATGCATGTATATATGTGTGTATATATATATATATTGTATATGTGTATATATTTATTTTTATAGTATTTGCATGTATATACATATACATATGTATAAATGTATATATATGCAAATTGTGTGTGTACATATGCATATTTATGTAGAGAAGGTATGAATAAGAATTTTCACAATACAAAAAAATATATATTTGACCGCTTTCTATATATTTGAAATCAGCCATATACATCTCTTGTATTGGGAAGATATTCATTCTTATTCATACCTTTTCTAAGTTTGTCGACATGAATACGGTTTTTGCATATTTATATGTATAATCATATTGTATTTGATTGTAGTTCTTATTCTTTTCTTCTTTCTGTTTCTCGTATTTTTCACTCTTAGAATATCAGGCAAATTGTCCATGGCCCTCTCTTTTCTAAGACTTGCCCATAGTCCATACACTTTTTTTTTTTTTGCTTTTATTTTGCCTTTATTCCCATAACTAAATCCACAATGATTCCTGTCCTGAGGCTGCATTATCGTATTGATATTATTAGTTCATTTAAACGGAGCATATATTAATGGTTATTTTCATGTAATGAAAATATTAAACCTTTCACATAATGTAAGGTATCGTAAACAGGTAAAATTGCTTTCCTTATTACTTTAAATGTCAAACGGTGATAGGCTAGAATAATGATTAGGAATATCATTTTTATTTTTATTACTTGGTGTTATGGCCATAGCTTTTATCATAACACCCTTTATATCAGTAACATCCTTATTGATAGCTTTTATACTCGAAATATTTGATGTTTTATTTATTAAATATGTAACTCATTTATCGGTTGTTGTTTTTCTGCTGGTTTAAGCTTTTAGTTTGACATTCATGTGTAAACCAATGACAATTCAGTAATAATAATAATAATGATAATAAATACAGGAATGGAAGGTACTGGAGAGTTTTAGGATTAGCTAAAAATGAACAAAAATACCTGCTTGTTATGCATGTTCTACTTTACTACAGTTAAATATACAAATAAGTTATATTCACATAATATCCATATGAAATCATAGCCATCGAAACGAGATCCGCCCTCTTCGTCTCAGCTTCACAAAGGTGAGCCATAAAATCTTGAGGGAGCTTGAACGACCGATTCGGACGAGTCCTCGCCTGAGTCTTGGGCTGAGTATCGTCCTCGAGACACTCGATACTCCTCGGACTCAGGATGCTGAGCCTCGCCCTCGTACTCCACCTTCGGCCACGTAGCCAGAGTCGCCGTCCACGTAGTACTTGACAGTCTGCAAGCGAGTGTCGGGAAGCTGCACGTAGTACGAGCCTTGGGTGTAGTCTCCGTCGCGGGACTCCTGGTGGCCGAAGTGGTTGCCTGAGTAGTCGTGGTTCACGGCCCAGTCGAAGTCGTACTTTGCAGGTCCATATTCAGCAGAATCTTCATCAGATCTCTGTAAATAGCAACATTATTAGATTGGATTATGATGCATTGTCTTATTTGTTTCTATGATGATCTGCCGACACCAATAACACCCGTAAACCTACATCATGACTACGATAGATGTGGCGACTCTCTGATGACGTTTCGGAAGAATCATCTGATACCTGGAACACAAACCATTCCATTAGTTTTAAAGTACTATCTCAGTGTTTTTTTGTTTTGTTTTTTTCATTTAAAAGTATTGAAGATGGAACACATAAAGATAGAAACGTCCATGCTTTACTTGAGCTCTAGCTTGAGGTACTCCATAGAAAGACGAAGGCTGAGAATCCGACGCAGCAACGGCGGCGAGAGCCAGCAGGAGAACGAGCTAAAGAAAAAAAAAGAAAAAGAAAAAGAAAAAGAAAAAGAAAAAGAAAAAGAAAAAGAAAAAGAAAAAGAAAAAGAAAAAGAAAAAGAAAAAGAAAAAGAAAAAGAAAAAGAAAAAGAAAAAGAAAAAGAAAAAGAAAAAGAAAAAGAAAAAGAAAAAGAAAAAGAAAAAGAAAAAGAAAAAGAAAAAGAAAAAGAAAAAGAAAAAGAAAAAGAAAAAGAAAAAGAAAAAGAAAAAGAAAAAGAAAAAGAAAAAGAAAAAGAAAAAGAAAAAGAAAAAGAAAAAGAAAAAGAAAAAGAAAAAGAAAAAGAAAAAGAAAAAGAAAAAGAAAAAGAAAAAGAAAAAGAAAAAGAAAAAGAAAAAGAAAAAGAAAAAGAAAAAGAAAAAGAAAAAGAAAAAGAAAAAGAAAAAGAAAAAGAAAAAGAAAAAGAAAAAGAAAAAGAAAAAGAAAAAGAAAAAGAAAAAGAAAAAGAAAAAGAAAAAGAAAAAGAAAAAGAAAAAGAAAAAGAAAAAGAAAAAGAAAAAGAAAAAGAAAAAGAAAAAGAAAAAGAAAAAGAAAAAGAAAAAGAAAAAGAAAAAGAAAAAGAAAAAGAAAAAGAAAAAGAAAAAGAAAAAGAAAAAGAAAAAGAAAAAGAAAAAGAAAAAGAAAAAGAAAAAGAAAAAGAAAAAGAAAAAGAAAAAGAAAAAGAAAAAGAAAAAGAAAAAGAAAAAGAAAAAGAAAAAGAAAAAGAAAAAGAAAAAGAAAAAGAAAAAGAAAAAGAAAAAGAAAAAGAAAAAGAAAAAGAAAAAGAAAAAGAAAAAGAAAAAGAAAAAGAAAAAGAAAAAGAAAAAGAAAAAGAAAAAGAAAAAGAAAAAGAAAAAGAAAAAGAAAAAGAAAAAGAAAAAGAAAAAGAAAAAGAAAAAGAAAAAGAAAAAGAAAAAGAAAAAGAAAAAGAAAAAGAAAAAGAAAAAGAAAAAGAAAAAGAAAAAGAAAAAGAAAAAGAAAAAGAAAAAGAAAAAGAAAAAGAAAAAGCTTTTAGTTTGACATTCATGTGTAAACCAATGACAATTCAGTAATAATAATAATAATGATAATAAATACAGGAATGGAAGGTGCTGGAGAGTTTTAGGATTAGCTAAAAATGAACAAAAATACCTGCTTGTTATGCATGTTCTACTTTACTACAGTTAAATATACAAATAAGTTATATTCACATAATATCCATATGAAATCATAGCCATCGAAACGAGATCCGCCCTCTTCGTCTCAGCTTCACAAAGGTGAGCCATAAAATCTTGAGGGAGCTTGAACGACCGATTCGGACGAGTCCTCGCCTGAGTCTTGGGCTGAGTATCGTCCTCGAGACACTCGATACTCCTCGGACTCAGGATGCTGAGCCTCGCCCTCGTACTCCACCTCGGCCACGTAGCCAGAGTCGCCGTCCACGTAGTACTTGACAGTCTGCAAGCGAGTGTCGGGAAGCTGCACGTAGTACGAGCCTTGGGTATAGGCTCCGTCGCGGGACTCCTGGTGGCCGAAGTGGTTGCCTGAGTAGTCGTGGTTCACGGCCCAGTCGAAGTCGTACTTTGCAGGTCCATATTCAGCAGAATCTTCATCAGATCTCTGTAAATAGCAACATTATTAGATTGGATTATGATGCATTGTCTTATTTGTTTCTATGATGATCTACCGACACCAATAACACCCGTAAACCTACATCATGACTACGATAGATGTGGCGACTCTCTGATGACGTTTCGGAAGAATCATCTGATACCTGGAACACAAACCATTCCATTAGTTTTAAAGTACTATCTCAGTGTTTTTTTGTTTTGTTTTTTTCATTCAAAAGTATTGAAGATGGAACACATAAAGATAGAAACGTCCATGCTTTACTTGAGCTCTAGCTTGAGGTACTCCATAGAAAGACGAAGGCTGAGAATCCGACGCAGCAACGGCGGCGAGAGCCAGCAGGAGAACGAGCTAAAGAAAAAAAAGAAAAAGAAAAAGAAAAAAAAAATACTTGAAAACTGTTGCCATGATATGTAACTTGAGTTGGTTTTTAATTCCTTCACAGAACTACAGCTCAGTGACAAACTGCAGCAGCTCACCTGAATGTTCATGGTGCTGACCAGAGACGTGGAAACACTGACCCAATGCGCCACTCACGCGGCGGATTTATAGGGTCGAGGGGAAGGTGACATGAGGCGATGACCTGTTTTTCCTTTGATTTTGCAATACATTTCGTTGACTCCTTTGGCCCATTACAATTCCCACAACAGTGCCAATTTGGCTCATGTACTTAACAATATTACTGATGTAATATTACTTTGCTCTACAAATGTAGAACAAAGTAAAACTGTAAGGCATATATTTACAGCGTAACCGATGTACATAATAACAGTAGTAATATCTGTGGTAGGGATATATTTCTTATACTACGAGAATACTTCATGCATACCTTTTCCTACATTAGACTAGCTCTATGAGCCCTAATAAGAATAGATAACAGTGTAATAAACTTTGTCTAAATATAATATTTTTGGATTCAGGTGATTTGGCTGGTCGATATTTACAGGTTTTAATTAGGATTTGATTTTGTTATTGGTTTTGTTTTGATATTACGAATGTTTTCTAATTTCTATTACTCTTATCTTCATTACCACCCAAGTGAATTATATTTATGTGTATGAGCCCATGCGTGTAATTCACGTGTTGATTATGATGATGACAATGTGTGTGTGTGTGTATGGAAAGAGTTATAGATATACTTTTTTATATAAATACAAACACACAGATTCATATATATATACACGATAAATGGTATAAATGGTGTATAAATACGTATATATGCGTGTGTGTGTGAGACGAGAGGGAAAGAGATGACTAGACATATTGATTGATTCAGAAATTGTCATTCACACACGCATTTACATTTAAATCAAATAATTTAGAACACGCAGTTTGAAATTAATTAAAAGAGAAAAAGAACAAAAAGATGATCAAATAAGAAAAAGACGTTTTTCCCCAGAGAACAATTTTTTTCGAAAGTCGACAGTAATAGGCATTCTAGCAAGTATCCTCTTATATTCAACGTCGATTGATGCCTTGCAGGTAAGGGAAGAAATATTTACTATCATGTTTTAATGATTATCTTCAGCTTGCGAGAGAAGTTGAATATTATGCAGGCATTAATGCTAAAAATATAAAACTGAAAGTGTCCTTTTCTGCATAGGAAACGATTACATTATATTGAATTATATGCATCACATATATGTTTCTAGTTATATATACATACAGATGTCTGTTTTATATGTATATATGCCTATATATGTATAATGTGTTTTTTACACAAACACACACGTATGTGTGTGTATATATATAGAGAGAGAAAGAGATACCTATATCATATATACATATGTATATATATATATATATATATATATATATATATATATGTATGTGTGTGTGTGTGTATCTGTGTGTGTGTTTGTGTGAGTACTTATGTACACATAAATATGTATATATATGCATATATATGTATATATACATACACATACACATATATATACGCTCACACGGACACACATACATGTATACATACATATATATATACATATATACATATATACATAATATATATACATATATATATACATATAATATATATATGATATATATATGTATATATATGCATGCATGTATATATATATATATATATATATATATATATATATATATATATATATGTGTGTGTGTGTGTGTGTGTGTGTGTGTGTGTGTATGTATATATATATATATGTATATATATACATAAATATATGTGTGTGAGTGTATACGTGTATTTATATACGTGTGTGTATGACCATGTGTGCACGGTTTTTATAAATATGTATATATATACATATATATGTATATATACATACACATACACATATATACGCTCACACGGACACACATACATGTATACATACATATATAATATATATACATATATATACAGACACACACATATATATATATACATGTGTATATAATTCATTTAATATATATATATATATATATATATATATATATATATATATATATATATATATATATATATATATGATGTATATATATGCATATATATGTATGCATGTATATATATGTATATATATATACATAAATATATCTGTGTGTGAGTGTAAGTGTATAACGTGTATTTATATACGTGTGTGTATATATATACATAAATATATCTGTGTGTGAGTGTAAGTGTATACGTGTATTTATATACGTGTGTGTATGACCATGTGTGCACGGTTTTGCCTGTGATTATGTTATATGGAAAAGGTAACAGTTCGCCTCCCACACGGAAATAATCTTTAGAATAATAATTATTTCTTCCAACATTTTCTTCAATAACTTTAAGCAATTATAACGTAATATAGCAATTCCAGAATGACGTATTTGCTTAATCTTTTTCTTATCATGGACAGTGTGTGTCAGGCATTGCAGAAGGAAATGTATCTCTTCCTCAACCATTACAGCTGTTTTTACTTTCATATTTAAGGTTTCAAAGGTAATGAGTTTATTACAGTAATTTAGATTATTCTCTGCATATCAGATTTCCTTCATTATATTAATCAATTTTGTTACTTTCACTGTTCTCAACATAACTGCCATCATTACCTTGTTCTAATAGTTATAATAACAATAATACTAATATAGATTATAACAATTAGTAATAGCAATAGTGGTGTGGAAAATAATAACATTAATGACAATGGTAATAACAATAATAATAGCAATAATGATAGAAATCATATCAATAATGATGATTTTAATAGTCAGATTGATAACAATGATAATGATAAACATTTCTATAATACTATAATTAGCAGTGATGATGGTATTAAGAGTAGCAATAACAATGATAACAATAATTGTTATTGTTGGAGGTGGTGGTATTAAAATTATTATCAGTATTGTTAGTATTACCATTTTTATTATTATGACGTCTATGATGATTATAAAGGTGATCGTGATTATCAATAATGATTGTTCTAATTTCTCATTATTGCTGTTATTATTATCATTATTATTATCATCATTACCATCGTCTATACAATTATTTCTTTTATAATCATCGTTGCCGTTACTGTTGATAATAGCAGCTAAAGTTTTAGTCCTTATAATTTTGTTGTTACTTTTAAAGATGTCATTAACAAGATCATCAGCAGCAGCATTCTTGTCATCCCTTTTACCTCATTACTGATGTACATATTGTGTTAGTATCAATAGGTTAAGTAGTCATTATTAATATCATTATTATCATTGTCAATTTCATCAAGTTTTCATTAGATTTGCCAATGATCCGATATTTCTACCTTCGATTGTAAATTAAAATTAGACCAGGTTATCAACAAAAAGTATTCCAGATTACTATACACGTACTGTTTTACTACAATTAAATATATAAGTTAATTTCCATCATCTCCATATCAAATCACGGTCGTCGAAACGAGATCCGTCCTCTTCGTCTCAACTTCACAAAGGTGAGCCATAAAATCTTGAGGGAGCTCGAACGACTGTTTCGGACGAGTCCTCGCCTGAGTCTTGGGCTGAGTATCGTCCTCGAGACACTCGATATTCCTCGGACTCAGGATGCTGAGCCTCGCCCTCGTACTCCACCTCGGCCACGTAGCCAGAGTCGCCGTCCACGTAGTACTTGACAGTCTGCAAGCGAGTGTCGGGAAGCTGCACGTAGTACGAGCCTTGGGTGTAGTCTCCGTCGCGGGACTCCTGGTGGCCGAAGTGGTTGCCTGAGTAGTCGTGGTTCACGGTCCAGTCGAAGTCGTACTTTGCAGGTCCATATTCAGTTGAATCTTCATCAGATCTCTATAAATACACAGATAAAATGTATGAGATTTGGATCAATTTCATCGTTCCTATCTATAATCTTTTGATTCCAGTAATAGACAGTAAGTTAACTACACTTTTACCCGAATATATGCATTTACCTATAATTTTGTGTGTGAAATGTGTGTGTATTATTGGTTGTGTCTGTCTTTTTTAGTACTCACTGAATCACTGCGATATGATCCTCGATTCTCTGATAAGTTTTCAGAAGAATCTCCTGATACCTGAAATCAGAAATAATCGATTATGTTTCTGCTAATCATTCAGTATGTCTGTCGTACAGAGGTATTGCCTACCTATCTGTGCATTTAGTGTTACTTATTTTCTCAGCTTCAGATATCTCTCTCTCTCTCTCTCTCTCGCCGGCACATCTTTCTCTATATGTTGTTACCTACCTGAGGGACCCCGTAGAAGGAAGAAGGACGCGAATCCGAGGCAGCAAAGGCAACCAGAGCCAACAGGAGAATAACCTTTAAAAATGATTAAATAAATAAGAATAATTTACAATCCGAAGTTACTTGTGAATGACAGAAAACTATACTGTACCGGTACAGTAGCAAAGGAAAGTGCTATATGGAATATCTATCTTGCATTGCGGGAAAATTCTCCCAAAGCTTAATATAATCCTAGAAAACATGTAACCTTCGATTAGTAACTTGCCTGGAAGTTCAT